GGGGGGGTACTATTTGAGTAATGATTTCGAAACATTGCATAATTTATTGCATAACGACAGTCACTCAAAAGGAGCTATGGTCATAATCGTCACTCTTTTCGAGCGTTGGTACATAATCGTCACTTGAATCGAACTTGAATGGAAGCGACGGAAACGAACATACCTTTAATTGGGCAACGATAAATTCTCCGTCACTCTTTTTAGACGAGACTCGTCACTTCAGCAATTACTGTGGTCTTGGAGAGTAGACCCGGAATACAAGTTATAATAAAAACATATACTGAACCCGTGGTCACACTTCGTGCCCCCACTATCACCAGCAGGAGACTAGTTAGTCTAGCTATCGCGCAATTCCAATCTGGAGTGCCGACCGCACTTGAATACCCTCCGTTTGTAAGGTCGTAGGTACTGTCGCGAATTGAGCATCAGGTAGAGCGCTGTGACCCCACAATCAGGGATCAAGCCAACAGGGGTCGATCTCGACTTGGTCTTTCATCTGCAGAATGTATTAAAAATTAAAAGAGAGAAAGGGTGTAAGACGGTGCAACGCGGAAGGGGGGGACTACCCCCCCTCCCCCCAACCGAAGGACGGCCTCTGTGTGCTCTGTGCACCCCCTCCCTCCTCCTCCCTGGCTATTGATACTATCAACGCGGGTGGATGGGTAGGCAAATGCACTACTTGCCACGAGTAGTTAAAAATAATAATAAAAAAATAATCCCCCTATCCTCTTTCTACTAAGACCTGGCACTCCTTTTTGTAGTTTTACGCAAAACTATCCCAGGTAGCAAAACGCATTATATGTACCATTTTGTACCATTTTTGGCGCATGTACGCGCATATTAGGAGCCTACACGCGTTTTAGGCGCTTTTTAGATTGGACACAACATGCCCATTTTATGCAGCTCTGCTACCTGGGGGGATATGCCAGCCCGGCACACGAACAAACTGCTTGAAAGCTGTACTTTTCCAAAGGATGTGGACCTAAGGAGACCCAGTTCGCAGAGTAGGGCACAAGCGCGACTCACTGGGCACTGGACACCGGTTTCGATTTCATTTGATTGCAGGAAAGTTTGTCTGGTCGACCTCAGCATCTCTGTATTTTTCCTTAACGTCTTACTCGGCTGGAGCAGAGCCCTCGCAACATGTTACAACTGCCCGCAGGAGCAACAGAGATGGGAAACTGGGAACTGGGGGTAGGGGGTGGGACGGGGAAAAGGGGGTGGAGTTGGACAACATGCATGCATCCCTCTTGCTCTCGTGACGATGCTCTTCTCTCTCCCTCGCAGGCGAGTTGCGGCGGGTCATTTTATGAAGAGACACCTTACCCGACCGCCACCGCCACATCGCGAGCGCTTGCGCGTGCGAGAGAGACGGGCTGCGCGAACCGAATCGTAAAGGCGGCGCCCGCGCGGCCCGCGGGTCAGAAGCGCGGCTCGCGGCGCGGCGTAGCGGCGTAGCGGCAGCGGCAGCCGGGAAGGAGGCGGAAACCGAATAGGAGAGTATGAGATACGTGTGAGTGAGCGTGAGCGAATAGTGAGGACTCGGACACTTGGCGTCGTCGTCGACGGGTGTGATGTGCGAGGAGGTGGCCAGTGTGCAGGATGGTGGCGTTGTCAGGGCGCACGAACTGAGACAAATCTAGACGAGCGTGCCTTGTGTCCCGGACGACATACCGAAAAAGATGGCTTTCAACTTATTTCGAGCTATCCTGGTGCTAATTCACGTGATCTATGACGTTTACTGTGAGGCCCGGCGCGCCCTCCGTTGCGCCCGACAACATTTGGAAGATTATTTCTTCAGCCCAAGGGGCCTGGAGGCGGAGATCGAGTACGTGCGACAAGAAAGGAAGGTCCTGGACAAGCCCCTCTCGCACCTGGCCGTCATCCTAGGCCCCGAAGTGGTGTCTGTCAGAGACGTTGTGCGGTTGGCCCTGTGGTGTCACGCCGCCGGCGCAACCTATGTCAGCTTCTACGATCCTTCGGGTGAGTTTCTTCTTCTAAATGTATTCTGTAGGCACGTCAAGTCATGTCAAAGAAAGAAGTTTCGTGGCCGGTCCCCAACGGGGCAGACAAGTTCTTAGGGACATGTGTAGGTTATGTTGTCCTCAGGTGTGGTGTTGAAAGTACTGTGTTTGTTGACTACGAATTTCTCAGGTTCAAGTTTGCCACATAGGCAGAAAAATATACTACTTAATAGTTTATAGGCGTTTACTTATTCTGGAGTGTGTATTTGTAATTAAAACATGCGGCATTAAATTTCGACCCTCCTAGTTTGGCCTGTCATTTCAATTCGAGGATTGTCCATGTTTTGTTTTACACTCCTCTCTTCTTTAAAATTAAAATTTATCTTGTGAAATTTGCGATGAATCTCCATTATTGTCAGATGTAATTATTTATTCTGAACCCCGTTTGTGTATGATGAAATTTATTTACTAATTGCCAAGAACTTTGGATTGGATGAGTATTTCAGTCACCCTTTTATTTATTTCTTGTTTTTATTGTTATTTCCAAATAAACATTTGACCTCATTCAGCTGCTAGTGATTTTTTTTTGAGGCCAGTTTTAAATTTCCATCCAGTGGCAACCATAATCATCCATTAATGTGTTCATTTTCTTGCCAGCACCCAAAATAAAAACAAAAAATTGCTAGCAGTAGAATGTGTTGTAATCCGTCTAATTGCAGTATTGAAGTTTTCCTTTTCTATTTACAGGCCAGTTGAAGAAAAACAAATTTGCTCTGGATGATGCATTAATATCAGCATGCAAAGTGAAAAGTCATATTCCAAAAACAAATGGTTATATAAATGGTATTAAAGCGTTTCCACTTGCTTTACTTTTTTCTTTTTTCAATCCTTCATATATCCAAAGCTTGACAAAATTTGCTCATTGTATTAATAAATTTTTAACTTTTGCAGGATATGCCGGAAAACAATTTCCACACATCATGTTGTTAGATATATCAGATGGTAAGCCTGGTATTGTGAGAGTTGCAAAACAAATTTGCGAGGAGGTGCTATCCAAAGAACTTTCCCCAAATGAGGTGGATTTAGAATTGTTCAGCAAATATGTTATGAAGGAATCAGGAGTTCCAGAACCAGAGCTTGCCTTTTATTGTGGTGATATCTTCTCCCTGTATGGATTTTTACCATGGCATTCAAGAGTCACTGAATTTCTGTAAGTATGAAAACTTGATTCATAAGTGGATCATACATATTTGGTCATACTTTGGGAACTCTATCTTGCTATCTTTTCCTCCCCTCTAGACCACTACATAGCCATCACAATGTCTCGGTGCTAAATTTTGTTACTTTACTTAGAAGATACAACAGATGTGAACAGAGACTAGGCACTTAGAAATTTAATGAAGGCATACCTTCTTCAAGGATGGTGCTGCAGTGTATTGTATCTTTATTAGGGGTTTGAAAGACTGAAGGAAAGCTTGAGTAGTCGCATCTCAGTCTGTCCTTCCATCGTGTAAAAAGTTTCTAGTAATTTTATGCTGTTTTCTTTTAACTCTTCACAGGCCTTAAGTCTTAATTTAAAATGATTATTGATGTAATGTATCAAGTTTGACATAAGAACATATGATTGTGTGCTTCCAGAGGGTTTTATTTATTTTAAATGTGTATATTAGTTAATGAGATCTCGGCTATGATTTGTCTGCTTGATTTCTAGAATTGTCAAAGAGAATGTGATTGCATATTACAAGTTACTTTTAACCACCTCACCTCTCGTTACCCATGAAATGGTCCAACTGTACCAAAACAAATTAAATATTAGATGGTTCAGTTTGCTCTTTACTCTAGCAGCTGGTTTCACTGTTGAACAAAACTAATTGTAATTCCCAAATAATTCCTAAATAGATATTGAAATGTTACCATCACATTCCTACTGTACTGTTACTGTACTACAAATGTTAAATAAATGAACTTGTTAATTGTTATGAAAGTTATTATTTTGTGAAAAGCACAGACAGTGCATGAGATCTTAAATGTAAGGTCAATACCACAGTGCATCACCACAATGTTCTCACATCATATCCTAAACACACTCTGCTGACATTAAAGTAAATAAATAAATAATACGAACAATTCAGGGCAAAAACTGCAGTTGTGTGCCCATGTGTGCCTTTCAAGGAATAATTTGTATGGAGTTTGACACCTCTTCACTGTGTTATAGTACAAAATTTGAAGCATAGTTCATTATACTTTTCCTAAGATTTATGTCAAACACTGAAAGTAATAACTTTTCCCGGATCAAAATTAATGTGCTACTCAATAACTCTGGCAAAGCCAGCTTTGTCTCCGGTGATGTAAGATTACGCTTTGCATGGGAAGGCTAGGCAAATTTTGCATAACTCAGCACAGATAAAAATATCATTAAAAAAAAAAATATATTTTGATATTGTAAAAAGTAGAGAAAAGAGGCAAAAGTCATGAAAAAGCTAGCGAGGGCAAAAGGCTGTCGTCTTATGGAGCGCGACTAGCGCTTCAGCGGGTGAAACGGCCTCTTGGGGAACTTACTGCGAGTAGGTGTGTCAGGTGATGCGCGTTTTGCCTAACCGTTTGTTGACGGGCGGCCGCCAGCAGCAGAAGTAGCTAGCTCCCTAAACAAATTGTTGTTGGTAGTGTTTATTATTCGAATGACAAGGAAATCCGTGAATGACTTTTAGTTTAGATAAGGTAGTAAGAAGCAAAAAGAATGAGTCGAGTGCCGAACGACGAGGCGGTGCAACTCACCAACGACGATGCAACCGAATGCAAGCAGTCAGCTGTGCAGCTAGGTTACTGGCAGGACCCATACCTCTTTTACTTCGCACGCTCTGCTGAGAGGAAGCCGCCAGAAATCAACCGAGGCTATTTCGCCAGGAAGAGGGGCATAGAACTGCTTGTTGAAAAATTTCTTAAGGTAAATAAAATTTGAATGATGTTTTGTTTATGTGAAAGAAATGTTTTTTGTTTTTTTTTTCTGGTGTGGGAATAAATTTTAAGTTGTGTTGCCTTTTGATATGAATACAATCAGCCTGAGATGTATAAATTTTTCTCTCCTCTAAAAATGACATATTTTTCATGTTGCAGTTAACCAATTCAAACTGTCAAATTGTGAACTTAGGTGCAGGGTTTGACACACTCTACTGGCGTCTCCTTGATGCTGGAAAAGCTGTTACAAAACTCATTGACTTAGATTTCCCATCTGTGACAGCTCGGAAATGCCATTATATAAAGCGCAACAAGCCTCTGCAGGACAAATTGAATTTAGGAGGTACATATGGCTAATGTTTAACTCATGTGTATTAACATTAGTCACAAGTTAACATTGCTATTTATCTAACCACTTAACTGTTTCAGAGGGTAAAGCGTTCAGTGGTGCCACAGAGCTGCATGCTGGAAACTATCACATTGTTGGTGTTGACCTTAGGCAACGTTCAGAGTTCGTTGCCGCTCTTGAACAATGCGAGATTGATTTCTCACTACCTACATTATTTCTTGCTGAATGTGTTCTAGTCTACATTGATAGTTCATCTGTTGATGAAGTCTTAACATGGATTGCTGTCAATTTTGAGTCTGTTGCCTTCATTAACTATGAGCAGGTACTTTTCTGACTTTGTTATCAACAAGATCAAGAAGGAATCTGGTATTTGAATGTTCACACCTATGTTGGTTTGCCTTCATAACAGATCAATATGAATGACCGCTTTGGGGAAGTAATGAAACAGAACCTACGCCTTCGCCAATGTTCTCTGAGTGGTGTTTCTGCTTGCCAAAATTTAGACTCTCAACGCAGAAGGTAATTCTTTACTACTTTAAACTTTATTTTACATTAGAGGAAATTAATTGTTTCTAGGTAAACTCTAGATATTTTATCTTATTTGCAGATTTACTGACAACAATTGGGAAGGCACACAGGCTTGGGACATGGTAGAAGTGTATGACAATATACCAGGTATTGAACGACAAAGAGTCGAAAAGATTGAATTCCTTGATGAACAAGAGTTGTTGATTCAACTTTTTCAGCATTATTGTATTTGTGTGGGGTGGAAAGGAGCAAAATTAAGTCAGGTAAATTTTGATTTTTGATAAGTAGCCATCTGGTAGACATCATCTCTGTAACATTTTTTTCTTATATTTTCTTCTTACTTCAATAATCTGTACATAAGGCATCATATTTGTACATTGTCACCTGTCCTCTTGTTCTATTCTATTGGATTTTCATCTATTTTGTTATCTGTTGCCATTTATTTTTAAATTCAGATTTCACCTATTCTCAAGGCTAGGTAACTTAAATTTTTTGTTGACTGTTGTAGTAATACTCTGATGTAAATTAATTTGTGTGAATATTGTATTTTTCAAAATCATTGATAGTTTTTTCTCTGGTCACGTTTAAATATTACCTTCTCTTACTTGTTCTTGACCTCACATTAGCGTCCCATGAAAGAGATGAAAATGTGTTTCATTCATTGCATGCACTTTGTAGGGTAAAGAATAAGTTTCTGTTTACCAATTTTCTTGTGTACTAATTCTTTGCTTTTTTTGTGAGGACTCCTTCTTTTTTCACATTGAGCGATTGTTTGCTCTGTAAGAAGCCTGGCAAATTCCTTAGGCATCTTTTTTTTTTTTTTTTTACAATCCCAGTTTTCCTAAAAAAATTACTTAATTGCTCTCTTTAATAGTTCTTATCTTAGTATTTCAGCACTCAAGTTCTGGTGATGTTCATAAAAATGTTAGGGCAATCTTGATTACCACAATTGTATCTTAGTTAAAATATTTACAAATCTCTATTTCATTGGCTAATCTATATCTTGTGTGTCTGTGATCTGTGAAATACCATGTTAGCTCACCTTAGTTCTTTGTTCATAAATACTGTCTGCATCTGACATACAGTGCTTGGTAGTAATCTTTCCCACCTTTCTATAGTTACAAGAAAAACAAATTTACAAATAATGGCAATGTACACGGCTTAATTACATTCAAAAGGAAATGTTTGACCAAAAGATGTAACTCTGCTGTATTACATTTGAAAATGTGGCTTGAACACCTTCCATGTTGTGAAAATTGCCCGAAAGCTT